ATTCCCTGTGCCGAAAGCTCTGGTTGTCACATGTCTCTGAAGTACATTCTCCCAATAGGTCAACTAACTCACCTCCCTAAAAAGAAAGCAGTAAGTACATTTCTTCCTTAGCATTGCTCATGTCACCTTCTAAATAATCAAATCCCAAAAGCCTAGATCAGTACAGGAACTAAAATTGTGGTTGAGCACTTTCACATCAAGTCATAGTGCCCATTTAAAGATTTATTTTTCTTAAACCAGTGGTTTCAAACTTTTTCATATAGCAGACTCTTAAAAAAAGTGAAATCTTATGTGAAACCCCAACAAAGGCAGAGAGCAGGCCCAGAAATCCAACCTGCATATTCGGTATGTGCTCTGCCCAGCGCTCTGCTTGTATTATCTCATTTAACCCTCAAATCGACTCTTTATGAGAAGTATAATTAACCCCGTGTCATCTAGTAAACACAGAGGTTAAGTGAGTTTCCTGAGGTCATACAAGGTTACAAATGGCAAAGCTGAGGTTGGAACCTGGGTCAGAGCAGCCCCAGCTCTCAACCACCGTGCTCCTTGTCTCTGTCTTTGAATTACAACTCAGTGCAAGGGTGAACCAGACACAGACTGTGCCCCCAAGGGGCTCTCAGCCAGGTCAGGAAGCAGAGCGGAAAAACGCATCATTACAGTTCTTTAAACACAGCCAGGCGCACCACACCTCCCAGCCTTCCACAAGCTGTTCCCTCGGCCCTCACACCTCCATTTGGCACGCTCCTTCTCATCCTTCAAATGCAGTTCAAGTATCTCTCGTCAGCAAAGGATACTCAGATCATCTTTTCTGAGAGCTTAACACAGGGCTACACAAAAGAAGTAAGTAGTCAAAGCTAATTATGACCTTCCAGACCAGTGCAGATTAGCAGCCTTAAGCCCTGGGCTTCACAGAAACCAACCCTGCCTCCTGTAGAAAACAAGCATGTTACTGAATCCCTCTCATATTTGCTGTCGGTGTTTCTATATAAATACCATTCAACGACACTGGGCTCACAGGATCCCTTAACACAGCCCCTCTCTCTTCTATACAAGATGAGGATTCTGCTCAAATTACATTACATTGGTAAATTTCCTTGAAGGAAGCAATTAAATACTAACATTTACAACTTGCTAGCTCAGTGGTTCTCAAAGCCTGGGTGATTTTGCCCACCTCTCCCACCCCACCACAAACCCCAGGACATTTGGCAGTTTCTGAGGACATTTTTGGTTGCACAACTGAGGAGTGCTACTGGCATCTAGTGGGTAGAGGCCAGGAATGCTGCTCAACAGCCTTCAATGCACAGGACAACCCCTACCACAAAGATTCATCCATCCCAAAATGTCAACAGTGCCAAGGTGGAGAAACCCTGATCTAACTTTTTCAGTAACTGGTTGGTTGAAGCAATAAGCACAATATGGAGATAAGAACTAGGGAAAGCTTTAGAAAATATATTTTTTAGAAATGATAATATTTATGTTAGAATCATAGCTAGCTACTACTCACAGAGTACGATGAAGCATTCTAGATGCTTTATCTACTTGATTTCTAACCTTACACAGTAGTTTTATGCCCATTTAAGGCTCAGAGAGGTGAAGTAACTTGCCCAAGGTCACACAGCTATTAAGTAGGAGAGCTCACACTGAACCCAGCCAGCCTGACTCCTGACTTGGGTACCACACACACTCACACTCCCATGACAGCACTCATGCCCCCGCCCCCACAGTATCCAGTCCGTCTCCCCTACCAGCTATGAGCACCTTAAGGGCAGGGACTCTCTACGCTCAGGGTAGAGTCTGCAACAGAGGTGCTTATTACAGTCTGGATGAACAAAGGAACCAGGAACAAACAGGAGCTGAGCCTGCAGCTTCCACGGGTCAGCATCAGGCCAGCCAGCCGTCCTGTCACTCCCCTCCTCCTGCCTCACCCAGGCCGCCCTCATCAAGCAGTTAGGGTCACCAACAGGTCTGCTCCTCAGGCCACAAGTTCCCTAACCATCTCCACCCCTTCCTCTGAGACCCATTCTCCTAGACTAGCCTTCCACAATACAGCCCATGCTTCCTTCTACAACCTAGAAATCGACTCAGTGAGGACAAGGAGAACAGAAGGCACTAGGGTAAAGAGAGTCAGTTGCCTGGACTCAGGGTATAAAGTAGAGAAATAGGGTGACTCAGAAGCCTGGTCTGGGAACCCCAAAGGACCAGCTCTAGTCCCAGCCCTGCCCTCAAGAACACAGTCCACAGTCCTGAGTACCTGCTGTGTGCCAGGCCTTCTCTGTAACTCATCAATAAATTTACTCACCTGTAAAATGTTTAGTGGGTTCCAAACATCTTTTGGCACAGAACCCTTTTCCCCTCAAAGGAACTCTGGATTGAAACTCTTCTCTAACTCTTTAAGACTCTAGGACAAAAAATTCACTAGACTTGGCCGATGATATCACATATTTTGACTCATTTGTCATTAATATTCCACGTGCTTTCCAAAGTTCTGAATAATGGCTCACAATAATAATGTCACAGCCATCAAAACAAGAGGAAGACAAGAACCAAGGAATAAAACTAAGAGGAGACATTTGTTTTCTGTGGCACAAAGCTGAGAAAGATTTTCAAAAATAGTAGCTTTAGAAATGATCTGCCAGGGGCCGGCCCCGTGGCTTAGCGGTTAAGTGGGCGCGCTCCGCTACTGGCGGCCCAGGTTCGGATCCCGGGCGCGCACCGACGCACCGCTTCTCTGGCCATGCTGAGGCCGCGTCCCACATACAGCAACTGGAAGGATGTGCAACTATGACATACAACTATCTACTGGGGCTTTGGGGGAAAAATAAATAAATAAAATTAAAAAAAAAAAAAAAAAAAAGAAAGAAATGATCTGCAATAATTGATGGTGCTTCTTTTCAAAGGGGAAGAGGCGCCAACACAGACAATTCGACAAAGGCAGCAGAGGAAGTGAGATGGCGCCATGATCATCACAATGAGCAACTGATACTTCCAAGCTTACTCTGCCTGGGCCTGCACTAAGTTTCACACATGGGGACACACTTCATCCCCAGGACCACCACATGAATAGTTCACATTATCACCATTTTGCACATGAGGAAGCCAAGACAGAGCACAGTGATGATGATGACAAAGGTAAGAGTAGAGGTACATCAACAGCATAACAAGCACCACGTGCCAGGCACTTACTCATGCTATTTTAGAGATGAGAAAACTGACTCAGAGAGGTGAAGTAACTTGTTCAAGGTCACACAGCTAGGAAGGGGGTGCAGTTCTGTTGAATTCCAAAGCTAAGTTCTTCCCTCTGTGCTGCTTCCCAGCCATCCTTATTTCGAGCAACGTTTCCCAAATTTGCCAAGAACCCCAGGTGATTCTTAAAACCTGTCTCCCAGGCCCTTCCCTGAGACTCTGATTCTAGAGTTCTGGGATGGATCCTGAGGAGCCATATTTAACAAGCACCCAGGTAGTATTCATCAAGAGGAAAAGCTGAGAACACTGAGCTGAGTAAAGAGAACAGTGCAGCCACACAAATCTGAACCACAACTACAATATTTTAGGGCTATGGTCTCAGAAGGGATATCACAAACAGTCCGCCCAAAGTTCCTGGGCTCCTCCCACTGAAGGCCATCGCTGAGTTACTGAGTTCTGGGACAGGAACTCTCCTCGTGGTAGCATGACACCTGTCTGTCAGCACACCAAACAGAAAAGGTGCCCACAAAACCAGAGCCCACGTCGGAGATCTTTTCACTCAGGACTGGTCTTGGGCTCATCTGAGATAATCCCCACGTGCAGCTGATGAAGCAACTGAGGCAGCAGTAAGTTAACATGCACGCCCACAGCCACAGAAGTCTCCAGCTGACTCCAGCCAGCACATCACACCATCTCAAAGGGACATCCAGAACTGCCAAGTGTCCAATGTGGCCTTTGCTGGGGGCACACACACATGGGGCAGCCAGGGTCAACCAAAGAAATGCTCCCACCTGCCAAGCCCTGGGCCCAGAGCCCTCCAAAGAGCAGCTGTGGAGCAGATGGCCATTCTCCTGCACATACTCTCCACAGCCCCTGTGCCCTTCCTCACAGCACTCCAGTTTGGGAGTTCACGTGTGCTTGTGTGACTGATTGATATGTCCATTTCCACCACCCCCAGCCTGTAAGACCACCCAAAGTCAATACCCATGACCATTTCTATCACCGTGTTACTCCCAAATTACCTGCCAAGAGTAGAGCCTAGGACACAAACACTTGTCGAACGAAAACATGAGAACACAAATGAGAGGGAGACACGGCAGGAGCTGTCCCCACAGGGCCTGAGGTGAGTCACAGGGACACCAGCAGCCCTGGTTTGGCACCTGGGTAACAGGGCACCATGGGGAGGGGGGTGCATGGCCTGCTCCCAACACAGGCAGGAACACATGTGGCTGCAGTGCAGTGACGGCACACTCCTCAGCAGCAGGGTGAGGGCCAGAACACGAACACAAGTGCACGGCCAAGTAGGAGCAGAGGGAACACAACCAGGGGCACCCAGAAACGCCAGCCCTAGGTAATGCCAGTGGGGGCTGGGGTTAGAAATGTGGGTTCCTAACTCTGATATCACCCTCATCAGCACCCTTTGGCCCAAGAAACTCAAGATATGAGCATAAAGGGCCCTTCAGAGGATAAGGCTGACCAAGTAAGGTTGCTGATTTGGTAACACTGGCCACTTGCAAGTCTCTCTCAGCCGCAGCAGGTCAGAGGCCGAGAAGTGACAAGAGACTGTGTGAGTGAGCCAGGGACATAGAGATAGAGGTGACAGGTAGCAGTGAGGAATCAGAAAGCAGAATCACCAACAGACCAGTCCTACACACAACTCCACAGGATTCTGGGTTATTGGGAACAGGCATGATTATCTGCATGACATAGTGCCTGCTCAACAAGGCAGGAAACATACAACCCATTTTAGATAAGAACACTTCAACTGGTCTGAATTCAACAACCTAGCTCTTCTAGAGAGACAAAGATGGCATTACCTTGTAAAGAAGTTACTAAATGGTCCCAATATTTTCAGTTTATTCCCCTCCTCAGTTGCATCAACACAGTCCTGCTGGTGTAAGTCGCGGGTTTCCTTGATGGAACTCAAGGTAACGTCAGTAAACTGTGGGTCATCGTCATTCTCCAGGGTCACAATGGCACTGGAGCTGCTCGTGACCATGAGGTCCAAGATGTCCTCATTGCTGACGGACAGTGTGGTTGACAGCTCTGTGCCAAGACTGGACACGCTGCAGACGGAGACATCGTCACTGCGGTTCAGGGCTTTGGAGGTGGGGCTGTAGAGCTTCACTGAATCATAGCCTGTCCTGGGAAACGTGGAGGACTTCCGCACACTCTGCTCCCGCTCAGCACTGGTGGGAGCTGGTGGTGCGTAGGATGGCAGCGGGCATGCGCTCTGGCAGGCCCGCTCAGGCACTATGTCCGACTCAGACTGTTTCCTCTTCACATGGACCACGCTGCAGGGTACAGGTTCCGGGTTGCTAATCTCTAGGGTAGGAATGCCTGAGTCCACCGACTTAAGGCTGTGCTGATCTTCTAAAGCACCAAGTTTCAGCTTGGGCCCATACTCAGGCAACGAGAGGGATCTGGGCGCCTTGAGATTCAAGTGTTGCAGGTTCTGAATGTGGTTTCCTGATCGACCATCCAGAATGCCCATCAAGGCTACGCCATTTGTAGAGGTGGACAGGTTTCCATCAGTCATCTTGGTCCAAGAAGAAACTAGAAAAAACACAAAAATGGAAATTAAGGCAGTGGATATAAAAGCCAAAGACCCCACTCCTCTGATGCACAGCTCAAATGTTCTGATGTCCCTTTTAAAGGAGGAATCCGAGGCCGGCCTAGTGGTGTAGTGGTTAACTTCCTGTGCTCCACTTCAGCAGCCCGGGGTTCACAGGTTCGGATCCTGGGTGGGGACCTACACACCGCTCATCAAGCCATGCTGTGGTGGCATCCCACATACAAAATAGAGGAAGGCTGGCAGAGATGTCAGCCCAGCGATAATCTTCCTCAAGCAAAAAGAGGAAGATTGGCAACAGATGTTAGCTCAGGGCCAATCTTCCTCACCAAAAAAAAAAGGAGGAATCCTTGAAAAAAGTCCTATATACCCAAGTTTTAATTCAGGACCAGAAGCTGGAGTTTTAACATATGTTATCATGATATAAAATCACAGGAAGATAACTCAAACAAAGGATACATCACGGGTAAAAATATATAAAACCATTATCTTCATCATTATTACCACCCCATCAGTCACATCTCTGTTCCCCAGGACAGCACTGGGAGCATGAGGACTGTGCTAGGCAGAAAGAGAAGTTTTTTGGTTTTTGTGTTTTTTAAATGATACACAGAATACCTCTGCTGAAAAGTATGTGAATTCATAACCCATACATAAGTCATGGTTCCACTTGTTCTGAGACAGCATAAAAATCAAGACATCTTCATCAAGAGAGAAAACAACAAGATAAACTGTGTATGCCATGTGCAGTGAGATGACCCCACCATGTCAAGCGAGCCATGGCCTCCACAAACGTTTCAGTCACCTCACCCAGTTCTACAAGGTAGGGCATTTGATCACCTTTACTATGGAAGAAACTGAGGCTCGGTTAAGAAACGGGTCCAAGATCATACTGTTACTTAGCGGCACAGCTGGGATCTATGGACTGACCCCAAAATAGGCTGTACCTGGTGGATGAATGGCTTAGTTTGGGGTTATAAAAACCCAGGTCAGAAGGCTGGCTCAGTGAAGACAGATAATCAATAAAGGAAAAATCAAGACCATGAACGTACAATAGAGATTTGAGTAAGAGGAGCCAGAGCTGTCAGTGACACACACACATCTAGGGCCCTGCCTACAGTTTTCTAGCCTAACGCTGGGGTGGGGACAAGGGGATGAGAGGTACACCAGCCTGGACAGCACAGCCCCCAGCGGACTGAGAAACCTGGCATGTGTTATGCTGCCTTCTATTGTCCCTTAAAATGTCGAAACTAAAGAAATCTGGTGGTGCCTTTAAATCTGACCCATGGAATAGAACAACTTAAAGAAGGGGACTTCGGACTCAGACATTCCAGCTTCTGATCCCAGCTCCACTACAGTGCCTTGGGAGAATTAGAGAAAGCACCACAAGAAAAGCACTCACTAGGCACCTGGCCCCATAGCAGGCACTCTGCAGGTATCAAACAGCAAGTAGCTGAAGGTTGTGAAGCATGGCGGTAACAATGAGACCCACTCCCATCTGGGTGTTATTTTAGCTTTTGTAAAGAGCCTTCCCACTCCCCGTCAGGAAGCCTGGCCTGCTTCTCAATGTCAACAAAGCAAAAGCAAATTCATTAAAAGCAGAAAGGGGAAGGGGGTAATCTCCCTCCTCCCAGAAACTGAAGGAACCAGTCAGACAGAGAAGCCCTAGAGCAAAAATAGTAATACGAAGGAATGACTCGAAATGCAGAATTCAGAAATAGACTGAACTATACATAAAAACTTGAAATATGACCCAATGAGTAAGGAAGGATTATTTAATCATGGCGTTGTACTAATCAGTTATCAATTTTTCTTTGAAGGTAGAACCACACTATACTACAGCAAAACAAAAATACAGACAAAATTAGAATTTAATACAAAAATGAAGTTATAAAGGTGTTGTATAAAATAAAACGCTTCTCTAACCTACAGAGCAAAACCTCAGTTCATCCTCCAAAAGGATCTGGACATCATCACCTCACCACACGTGAACACGTTTTAAATGTTTCACGGTTCACACTGCCCGGAATTTCCTGGACTGGAGCCTCCACCCTGAGTCCTCAGCCATGAGCTCCTCCCAGGCAAGGCCACAGCAAACTATCTCTGAGACCCTGCTCTGGGAAAATTCCTGAACTGAACCATGCAGTGAAACAACAGGATTCACAAGAGGAAGAGACAGGGAGACTGAAATGTACACAAATTTGAAAGATCTACATTTTTTTAATTAAAAGGAAAATAGAGGAAGAAACCTTTTTAGCACAGAGTTAAGAGCTAATCTTTGGCAATGTCAAAGGTAATTAGAATTATGAAAGCACCATCAACACTAACAGGTCAAACTGGCAAAAAGCCACAAACACAAGAGGAAATCCTCACAGTAAACAGAGCTGAGAGCCTCTGACAGGCCTAACTGAAATTCTGGCTCTGCCACTCACCAGCTGGAGCGACCTCAGAGGAGAGGCTTAATTTTTCTGAGCTTCAACTTCCCTCACCCCCAACAGTGAAGTAGGGCAATACCCGATAACTCAAAGGCTGGTCTGAGGATAAATGAAATGAGAAGGTTTGGTAAAAGCACCAGGACATCCCGCATCTGACACACAGTAGTGCCCAATAAACGTGAATTTCCTCTACTTTAGCCACATAAAGAGCTGAGGTTCCTGCAAAAAATGAATTTAAACTGAAATTTTGACACTAGAATAGACACATAATAAGTGTGTTAAGTGAAACAACAGTATTTCATTCATGGCAGCCCAAGGAGCCGTTCCCTGAATCGCCCAGATGAGAGCACAGGAAGAATGAAGCAAGGTCTGACAGAGCCCAAAGCCACTGGCAGTGGCCTGGGTCTCCATTCTTCCCTCCTCTGCCTTGGGGGCCACGGAGAGCAGCCCAAAGGCCTCTTCTAGGGAGAAGCTGAACGACCTTTGAGGCCTCCGCTGGTTCCAAGTCCAGTCTAAGTTCCTTAAACCTCAGGAACAGGGTGTCAGCCTTCTGGGAAACAAACCTAAAAGAGAAAACGTACTTCTGCTTGCAACACACTCTAAAACCAAACTCTGCAAGGGCCAAGGCCACCTGTCCTCAAACCCTTTCACCAGGTGCCACCAGTGCCATAAAACCTGAAACCACACTCCAGAGCACCTGCCTTCCGACGGTGCCCCGAAGGGGGAGGCTGCACAAAGGGCATGCTTCGGAGACAGACTGCAGGGTGGACTTTCGAAGCCCGCCAGGAAGCCAGCTGCCGATGGCCTGCCTCCAAGTCACACATTTTCTAAAGAAAGGAAAAGCCTAAGTTCCCTGAGCTGGCACACAGGCCCTTTCCAGTGCATCCCTGCCAGCCTCACAAGCCTTGTGGTGTCACCCTCATCTCTCGCAGCACCCAAGTGTACTGTACCACTGCCTGGGGTGCTCCATCCCTGGGGATCTGGCAGCCTGTGGTACAAGGAGACAGCACACTTCCAAGGCCACTTCCTCTGAGAAGCCTCGCCCAACTCTCCCAGGAAGCTACAGGTCCCCCTTCCTCCTAGGCTCCTTTTGGCTACACCCTCCTAAAACAACCGTGTTTACAGCTGTTCCCATGTCTCTCTGCATGGGCTTCTAAGCTTTAGGCAGGCACAGTCCTGATAACTGCAGGATGCCACTGCCTGACCAAACGCCTGGCATGGATTAGGGATTTAAAAATCTCTTTGTTGAGTTAATTATTACTAACAACTAAGCTCTAAGTAGGCAGGTTTCAGGAACAGTCCATCCAAGAAACATCTGCTGAGAGCTGGGTTATGTTCCAAGAACAAGGTGAGCAGTGGAGGTAACAAGATGCGGAAGAAAATCCCTCTCACTGAGTTCCCGCAGCAGGTGCAGACAACAGACACAGCAAGTAAGCCATGACCATCCTGTGCATCATGTCGGCTACCAGACTAGACAGCAAGGTATGCTGTCAGCAATCGATGGTTCAGGAAAGTAAAACAAAATTCCTCCCTCTACAGTTGTTTCCCAAAGTCCAACACAGCCCCCCACAGCAGCGACCATCGTGGTACGCATCCTCAGGTTCTTGGCATCCTATAGCCACAGCCCAGCACCAGGCGTGGGGGCGCTGGCTACAAGTTTAACGATGACTAGCCATCACCTCCCTGACGAGAGAAAAACATAGCTACAAGATGTCAAGTACGGATAAGAGGAAGTTTTTATCCCAGGCAGCAAGACCATCTGAATTTTATTTATCTGAGTTCTGCAGGAAGCAAAGAGGATAAACGCCAAGAGATTCAAACAACTTTTACTCCACAGGGGCCACGTCTTTAGTTTAATACACGTCAGAAAGTGGACAGCAGCTCTGACAGTGACTCTGAATAAGGCTTTGGAAAATAATTGCATCTTGAAGCAACAGTTTAGTTTTTTCCTCCTTAAAAAGCAATGGGGGGGGGCCGGCCCCGTGGCTTAGCGGTTAAGTGCACACGCTCCGCTACAGGCGGCCCAGGGTTTGGATCCGGGCGCGCACCAATGCACCGCTTGTCCGGCCATGCTGAGGCCGCGTCCCACATACAGCAACTAGAAGGATGTGCAACTATGACATACAACTATGTACTGTGGCTTTGGGGAGAAAAAGGGAAAAAAAAAAAAAAAAGCAATGGGACTAGGGTTTTGACCAAGTCTTCATAAATAAAAGAAACAAGTTTAAGAAACCAAAACCAAAAGATTTGGTTATGTCCCCAGGGGGAAAAATCCACTCATTGGTGGCTTCAGGGAGAAATAATGCTGCCCATCCATGCGGACATCCTCCAGCAGCCACCTTCCTGTGGCTCCTTTCCGTCCATGGGGCGTGTGCCACACGCAGCCCTCCTTGTCCCAGCTCCTCCCTGGATACTGCAGAGGAGAGCTACCTCCTCACACCCTCAATAGCACGGGGAACATCACCGCTGTCCCTGATCCTCCAAGGAGGGCGCACTCGCCTTCACGGCCAAGCATGCCATCAACCAGGCTCTCCACTGATTTCTCTACC